TAAACATCAAATTTTCATTTTTGGGTGAACTATCCCTTTAAGAAAAAATGGCTCCCCCATCAGTTGTCAGTGATTGAGCTTATTTGACCATTTTCATGTAGAACAGGAATTTTCAACCGTTTAGGACATGTGCCCTACGTTTATCTAATTTCACTCGCACCGCCCACCCATCAACCAGTGCGAACATCATTGCTATATTACTTAATTTGCTGCGTATAGTGTGCAAAACCATTTCTACACCGTTGTTGCATTGCACCTGGACGCAAATTAGTGACCATTGAAAAATCATTTGTTCTTTGTGTCAGAAGTATCTCAGGCACTTTGGTGTAAGGAAGTCAGAAATAAAGCTCGGCATAAGTTTACTGTCGAGGATTTTGCTGTTGCATCACGCCACTCACATCCAGTGTACACAGGGTATTAGTTAAACTGAAAAATTTAAAATATAAACTGCTAACCAAACTTAATGTGACGACTGAGCCTTTATTCATTCAGTTCAACCGTTTTATGACAGGGTTTGATTTCACTGAATAAATACGAGCGCTGCATGTTTCAAAGTCAGGTGCTGCGCTGCTTAGTGTACCGAGGTTACCGGGAAAACCGCTGTATTTCTGCCATTCCGAAAGCGCCACCTGCTGCCAGAGAATGAATTTGCATTTTCACTAAGCCCTTCTGCTGTTTTTGTGCTGTTTTTTCAGACCAAAAGTGAAAATCAACCCATATTTTTACGCTGCTGTAAATGTGAACCGGTGGATCAAGAATTGAATGCATTATAAAAATCTAAACATTTAAGACATTAAGAAATATTTATGTTATTATAATTGATTGATAATATTGTTTAAATGAATATAATAATTGATACCTTTGACTCATCCCTTTTCCTAAAAATTGTTTAAAGACTGAAATGTGACATTTATCATTTTATAAAAGAGCATTTTGAGAGAGAGAGAGATCCGCTGTCCAACAGAGTTTAGCCAGAGATTGTCTTACTATACGGAGATATGAGGGCCTGTATTGCTTACTATTGGAGACTAGTGTAACGGTCAACTTGGATCACGTGTGCCTAAATAACCAATCACATTACAGCCTTGACGTCACTGAATTTCAGTCAGAGTTGTGCGACACTCAATCGCTGTTTATGGATACCATAGGAATGAATGAGAATTGCCGTAAGCTGAATCCCACCTGTCGCTAAAAGTCAGTGACTTCTCTTATAAAACGGCATTTTTTTCGGTGTAAACTCTAAAAAGAGTTCAATCCAAACGTTTTGTTGAAGATTAGCCGATAGGCTGTCGATTCATTAAATGATAAGCTGTTTCCTCAAAAAAGCTGTTTATACAGTGTAGTGAAGCCTCTCCTCCATTGACATCCATAAAAAAAAAAACTGGCTTCTGGTCTCCTTTCCCACGTACTGCCAAAGCAGAAGCGCTAAAGCTTTTTGGCTAAAGGTTGCAGGCTTGCCTTCTAGTGGCTTTGGTTTAGTTCCAACCCAAATTAAACACACCTGAACCAGCTCATCAAGGTCTAACTAGGCATACTAGAAACGTCAAGACAAAATGTTGAACGGAGAGATACAGAGCATGGCAGGTTAGGGAGTTTTGGGTTGTATAAAATAAAAATAAAAGAAACGTACAAAAACATGGTAAAGAAGTACACAGCACAAGAAGCGATTGGGGTGACTTTTGATGAGATTTGGGAGGAGGCTGAGCGAGATTCTTTCGCATTTGGTTTGTGCATGTGTGTAATGTGTGCTTGCATGTGTATGAAAAAAAAATTCCTGAATGAAAACTATGCAACCAATGTCACAAAAAGACTTGTGTATATAGTAGCATAGTTACATTTTCAAGGTTGAACTGTTAGATTCTTTCAATTATGATTTATCTTTTTTCTAAATAAAAATCTGAAAATGTATTCCTTTTTTTTGATTTTGTCTGTTTAATCCTATTTACAAACTTGCCACATACATTAATGGTCAGTAACTGTAATTTATTGAATTTTTCAATCATTTAATTTAATTCATTTGTTTTCTGAAAGAAAAAAAAGACACATTGCACTTGAAGATAGCACATTCTGTTAGATTTTTTACAGTCAATAAATAAATAAAAAGTGAAAATTTCCTATTTTAGCTTCAGGTTCTAAAAGGGATAAGTTAATGCAAAATAAAGATGCTTGAATGCTATGTGATTGGGAAACCGATTGATGTAATGAGTTTAAACAAATACTTGACTTGATTGTGATGAACAGGATGTAATAAGCGAAATGTGTGAAAAGTAAATTCATCAACTTAATGAAACCAAAAGCAGAGATAAGACTGGTGAAGACTACAGTGAAGAAGGAGAAGAGTGCAGGGGGAAAAAAACAACAAATAGTGTAGGAGAAGGCAGAAGGACAACCGGCAATTGGAAATGAGTCACAGAAATTGATATTGAAATGGAATTGCTGATAGTTTTGGACAAGTGATCAAGCAAGTCTGTCTCTGGCTCAGCGCCAGCGACGGTGCAAAGATGATTTGAATTGAGCAGTTCATAATTCCAAACATAACTGAAAAGTGCTGATTGGTTGGTATGCAAAAAAAAAAGATAAAAGAAACACTGTGTTAATGTATAACACCAATAAATATATGTGATACATAATATTTAATCTCACTATCAGTATCTCAATTTACTCTCGCTATAATTTTTGCTCTTTATCAACATTTTATTTATAAAAAAGTTTGATTGTGTTCAGAATAGCTGTGGATTCTATCAACTTTCTTTTGTTATTTAATTTTATAAAATGTATAATTATGTTCATGTTTATTCTGTTCATGCCCCTTTCACACAATAATCCTGGTAAATCACTGTAAAATTACCACAATGACTCTTCCAGTAAACACACAAATAAATGTGTTGTTCACACAAGCAATAGCATTCAGATTTTTTACTGGTGTGACTGCATTCACACATTCATAAATTCTTATGACAGTCATTTGAAAACACTGAACCATTTTTGAACCATCATGCGATTCACTATCTTTCCAGTTTGACAAGATTGTTTTTCACCTTTGAGTGACAGGCATAAGGGGAATGATGACGCAGAATGTGATTTTGCTCTTAATAACATGAGACACATAATACAGCGATGCAATAACTGCAGAGCCACAGTGCTGATGAACGGAACAGAAGGCAGGGTCTTGAGCACAAGATGTGCCGCAAAGGTCAGACGTCCATCTAGTGCATGCTTACAGAAGCAGAGCTGACCTCATTCGTGCTCATACCTTAATCCTGTTCTTTGTTCACACCCATCATACCGAAAATTGAATGGCAATGTTACAACTTCTCATACTGGAAAATTGCCAGAACTGATTCACAGGTATTTTTTAAAAGGCCTGTTGGCACATGATCTCTTAATGTGAATGTACCGGTGATTTGCCAGCAAAGACTGTATGTGTGAAAGGTACTATTTAAACCATTTGGCTGTCATTTAGTCTTTCACGTGTGTTTTAAAAAAACTATGACAATGCCAGAAAAAACTCTCTTAAAGGTGACCTATTATGTCTCTTTTTACAAGATGTAAAATAAGTCTCTGATGTCCCCAGAGTGTGTATGTTAAGTTTTAGCTTAAAATTCCCCACAGATCATTTTTTATATTTTGTTGAAAATGCCACTTTTAGGGTATGAGCTAAAACGCGCCATTTTTGTGTTTGTCCCTTTAAATGCAAATGAGATGGTGCTCCCGCCTCCCAGTTCGGCGTAAAATGATTAGCACAAACATATAGGACTTTCCCGGTTTTTTTTGCTAAGTTATGTTAGCAAACATGGTTTTGTTACTGTGTGGAGACGTGCTAATATCGCATTTGGTCTCATTCTGTAACGTGTATCTTGTCAGTGTCTGCGCTTGCTTGGCCATTTGTTGTGGAGAAAATAATGAAAGTGTGTCCAGCTGAATTAATTTAGTATTTTGTTAGAAGGGTATAAAAAAGCTTAGTTTACCGTGGCAGCGGTCGCATGACGGACTCCTCGTGTGAAGACCGAAGAGTGTAAAGACCATCGACTCTACCGTGCGACTCCACCGGGCAGAGACATCGGCAAAGGATAAGTATCACTTTTTATTTCTCCTCTTTCCTATTACTTGTTTCACTTCTGTTTCGGTTTTTATAACCATTTCTTTCTATGTGTAAGTAAGTTGTTGTTTTTTAGCATGTAAGTTTGGCAGTGTTATTTTTTAGGATTACTGATAAGCTACTGTCATATGATTTGTATTATATGTATTTGTTATTTATTTTAATTTTAGTTACATTGTTTGAATTTATTAAGTCTTTTATTAAGTTTTATTTAATTTATTTATTTTAATACTTCAACAAACTAAATGTAAATGAAATAATATTTATATTGAATTTATAAATATGTATGTATAGATATGTATGTGTGTGTGTGTGGCTGTACATACACATATGTAGTTGTTTTTTTGGTGTTTGGCTTAGTGTTATGTTAGAATCATTATTATACTCTTATACCTTTTGTTCTTTCATATTTTGAATAGTTTTTAGCTTTATTTATTTTTAGTTTTTCATTTAAATGTAAAGTTTTGAAATTTTGTCGTATGCAGTTGTCGTTTTTTATTTAATCTCTTTGTTTTTAAAATGTGTATAGGTAGTATTTATAAAGTTTTAGCTGTTAGTTTTGGATCTGTTTTTAGTTGTTTTAATACTACAATTGATTGCTTCTCTTGTCCTCATTTGTAAGTCGTTTTGGATAAAAGCATCTGATAAATGACTAAATAAAAATAATAAAATAAAATATTCTGCTTTATATGAGTTCATGCACTCTTTTTAACACATTTGTTTGTTGCTTTTTCCATTTTAATCTATATCTGGTATAAATGGTCTCTGCACACAAACATTACTATTTTGCCTTTTTAAATCTAATACTCTTTCACTAGTAATTCTTAATATATTATATTTTTTATTGCACTTTTGTCATTTCAGACAGCAGTGTGTGAACGGGACTTTTATTTTGATTTCACGATGTGACGTCACAAAGCTGCGCCGCGCTCCTGCGTCTGAGATTCGGCTGAAGAAAAGGTTTGTGTTTTAAGCAGCTAAAATGTTTCATTCAATGCAACCTGTTCAGGCAATTTTGTCGTTTTTACAAACTATGTCAAATGAAATTGAACATTGGCAAACTTAATCTAACATTAATTATAAAACGTGCGTCTCATTTCACTCCCTGTATCGTGAATCAGTGTATCATAAACATGAGTTCGGCCACTGTAGAGCAGTGCTGAGTCGAAGATCCGAATTGAATCAAATGATTCAGTGATTCACCGCGCTCTGACGTCACACGCCGATCAAAACAGTGTAACCTACAAATCATTAAATACCAAGTATATTAATCATTTCAACGCCTAAATGGTGTTTATGTATAAGTTGTGTTCTTTTATTCATTTGTACTGCTAGTGTACAAATGGCATATTTAAGTCCACCTACTGAACTAGGGATTTAGTTTGGATTTATTTTGCTTTCTGTTAATTATTCTCACCTTACTAAAGCTTACTATTTTAAAGATGGCGTTCATTAAAGAGGAGAGGGAAGACATGCAGATCGAAGAAACTTTCAAAGTGAAACAAGAAGATACCGAGGAACAAATAGAGATGGTGTTTATTAAAGAGGAGAGTGAAGACACAAGTATTGAAGAAGCATTCAGAGTCAAACATGAAGATACTGAGGAACAAACAGGTTGGTTTTCGTTCTCAAAGCTGAACTCACTCATTCGATTCTTATTAAAATGTGCAGCTCTACAGAAATGAATGATATTTTTGAAGAATATGAGAGTGTTGTGATTAAAGCTGTTTTATTTGACACGGAGCTGGTCGAGATGACATGAGAAGATCCAACTTTCAAGACACACAAAATTAGAAAAAAAATAATAAAGTAGACTGGAACATTAAACCCCAAATCTAAAACACTTATGAGCAAAATATTGTCATGCTAACATCAAGGCTCCAGACTAACTTTTTTTATTAGGAGCACTGTACTCCCTTTCTGAAAATTTTAGGGGAACAAGCAAAAAATTTAGGAGCACATCTTAAAGGTGCAGTAGGAGATCTTGGAAAATGCTCACTTTAGCCTGATAGCACTGAAAGCGAACGTCCCACCCTCCCTGCAATCGCCGTCCAAAGCCACGCCCCCTGAACGCATTTACACTCACAGACCAGAGACAACATTACTACAATAGGCTACATAAGCGGTTCCCAATTCCAGCCCATGTAAACTTCAACGTATTTCCCCCGCTCAGTGAGGAGGGAGCAATGAACACTGTGTAGGGCTCATATCGATCGGAACACAGTTCATGCACGTAGCTCACTTCTAACGAGCTGGTTATCTGAATCGGGTGTGTTAACTAAGCGAGACATTCAAAATATGCAGAGCGGGGGGCGCTGGGCTACATCATGCGTCATTCACCGGTGAGAAAACTTTACAAGTACTACAATACCAGGAAGGAAGATGGGGTTGTTGATGTTTGCCTGCCATCCTCGCTCTGTCTGCACAGCGTGCGTGAACGCGCTGATGACGTGTCCTGTCTGCGTGAACCGGGTGCGCAGAGGTATGCTAAACATACGTTGACGGGCAGGTAGGAAAGCTTATTAAAACGCTCGGACCGAGCGTTTTGATTGGATGAACATTTCTTGGTCCTACGCCTTCCGCAGAATATATAAATACAGATACATACATTTAGACCACTTAACTTAATGATTGCTATCGGGATGTGAAGAGACTTTCAACCAGCATAACAAAAAAAATTTCTGAAGACAATAACCTATTGCACCTTTAAATCGAAGTGCAAGGTAATTATTGTAGGGATGCACACTTAAGGCTGATTTATACTTCTGCGTCGGACCTACACCGTAGTTTACGCATAGACGCACACCCATATGCCGTAGCCTGACGTGCACCTCTCCAAAAATCTAACAGCGCGTCAATTCTACGCAGACCGCAAGCTCTGTGATTGGTCTGCAAGAACCCCTCCCTCCATATGTACTTGAGTTTTGTGTGTTTATGTGCACTTTAATATATTTTAATGGTACACCTTCTTATATAAAATAAAACAAAGCAAAGAACAAGTGTCTTATCATTTATTATACTACATAGCATTATACATGGTGGATGGCTAATTTCGCTGGTACCTGTGATCAGTGACAATAAAGGGCTTATTGATTGATTGACATCAGTAGTTGTCAGCAACAAACAATGTTGATCTGCCGTGGTACAAGTCCTTGTGCAGATTGAAAGAATGCCATCATCTCCTGTTCCGTTGTTGTCTCTTTTTTGTAGTTTTAAATAATGATTGAATGATTTTATATTTATTTTTCTGCCGTCACGGCTATAATGCTTCTCCGACGAGCCGCTTCTTCTTCGGCTTTTGCCGTGGTACTGCGGGTTACACCAGCAACATGCCCGTGGACACTGCAGACTTGCGGTTTGCATGTGTACTGCACGTTGACGCGGACACCGACGCAGAAGTATAAATGAAAACTGAAGCATAGCCTACGGCGTAAAGGCTACAGCGTAGATCCGACGCAGAAGTATAAATCAGCCTTTAGTTTTGGCCGATAGCCAAAGCCAATATCAATATATTTTTACTTTTGTTTCGAAACAACAGTCTTCTGTGCAGTGATTATAAACAAATTGTTGATCATAAAACCAGATAAAGAACTAAATAATGTGCTCAGTCACACACTCATAGACATCATACCACACACAGAACCAAAGTGACTTTTCTTTTGCAGTTTTTAATAACCAAGTGGCACTGATATATCTGCCAGATAAAATAATAAACACAAAATAGCTGTATCTCAGCCAGTTGATCATGCATTTAATCAACTCATATCATCATATCTAGGGCCGCGTGAAACCCGATTTACTTTTTCCCAAATTCTGTTTTTTTATTATTATTTTTTTTAATATTTTGTTTTACAAAATTCAGTTTTTCTGCTTTAATTTTTCTGGACCCCTTTTTAATGGTTAAAGTAAATACTTTCAATTAAATAGAAAAGCTTTCCTAATTAATTAAAATCATGAAACTTACACTAAATTAGAGTAAATTTTTAGGGCCCATTCTTAGGGTACATTTTATAATATAACAATAGCCCTATGACAGGTTTTTTTTTTAAACAAAAATTAGCCGTGGTTTTATTTCGGGCTGCACGATAAATCGCATGCGATATTTAATGTGCATCTTGTCAGTAAAGCCAGTTCTATAATCAGCGGTAAATCTCCATCACGTGCATGCTTTCAGATGGAGCAGCATTTACTACACAGAGCCATTGTTCACTGACAAGCTGCACAAAACCACAATCATATACGTGAGTACTAATTTGACTGTCGTTTAAACAGAAGTTTTGTATCCGACTAGTCTAAAAGCAAGAACCCCAAAAGATGTAAGAAAAAAAAAAACTTTGTGCATGCGTGTATATAGTTGCCTACATTTGAAATACTTAATCTATGAATCACACATGAATTCCGCTAAAAATAGGTCACAATTATGCCTTACGCTTGCTTCGCGTTATCATAATTAATTTTAGGCGCTTGTTAAAAAGTGAATGACGTGATTGACATTAGCTGGCTTTGGCTAGTCTCTAAGCTAACGCCTACGTGCCTGTATTGAATATGATTACACATTGCTCCAGTAGAGTTATTGTAAGCCAATTTGACATTACACAGTTTACACAAAACTTTTCCGTTTCCTTCTAATTCAAAATAATCCCACACCATACTCGTCTTTCGCGTGGTCACTTTTCAGCTCGCCACAACTGACACGAAGAAAACTCATGCGAGGTCTGAGGTAAAAATGTAGTTTACGCCCAGATACACTTTTAAAAATAATGTATTATTTTTTCAAATGTTTTATTTTAACTTATTTAAAATGTTTTAAATGTAACAATGGTAATTGGAATGATAATGTTTTTTTTTTCTTTTTCTGTCGTGTAATCGACTATTGTTTTCAGTGTCGACTAGCTCCTGCTGTACCCGCACATCCCTATATGTGACGCATGCAATTTATCGTGCAGCCCTAGTTTTATTGTAGTAAAACCATGTTTTTTGGCGTCTAAAATAACCATAACTTATATTTCATGCACTTAACACTAATTATTTACAATGCACATTAAAGTTTTGTGTTCAAGTCCACAACCATATTGTCCTATACTTAGGGTGCTTTCACACCTGGCTCATTTGGAACATTTGTTTCAGAACCTGGTGTTTTCTCTCCCTTGTTTCGTTTCGTTTAGGCTTATAGAAACACAACAATCATGCTCAGATCTTCAACAAAACAATCACTCTCAGATCCGACCCATGAACCAAGCATTATCATAATTCATAATGGCAAATGTGTTATATAACGAGCTGCCGTGTCTGATTATATGAGTTGAACACATTAGTTCTCGCTAATTAAAAACCATAGAGCACTTCACCCTAAAATGTTGTGTGATTGCTCTTCTCTGTGCAGTGCAAGAATACTGACAAAGCCTTGATTCCCGCACTATACAGACCGGGAAATAGCGGGAGCTAAACTGCTCAAAAATTTAAGGGAACACTTAATCATCACAGTATAACATCAAGTCAGTTAAGTTTAAGTGATATCAATCTGGAAGCATAATAATCAGTTTCACCTGCTTTGGTGCAAATGAAAGTGACAAAAGGTGCACTGAAGAGGCAACAGCAAGACAACCCCCAAAAAGGGAATGATTTTGCAGGTGGTGGCCATAGACTATTGTCCTCTCCTTATTCTCCCTGACTGATTTGTCTTTAGTTTTGTGTTTTGTTAGTGTCCTTGTTACTGTCTGTAGCATGAGGCAGTACTTGCAACCCAATCAGGTTGCACAGCGTTTCTCTCCTGTGGCTTACTTTTGACCAATCACGTTTCTCTCCTGTGGCTTACTTTTGACCAATCGCCGGCCGCTATTATTGTCATCTTTGCAATAGGTAAGGCTATGGTTTACTTCATTATTGAATATAGGTCATTATTTGTTCATATACAGTGTGTATTTTTAGAAAATGAAATGTGCCAATGTAGCTAGCTAGCATTTATAGCACATGTTTTCTTCAGTACCTGTGAACCTGTAACTTTTCCCATGGTAAATGCAGAAAAAAACATTGGCCATCCGGTAATTAAGCTATATTGCTGTCACCAATGATGTGTGTATTGTGTGCAAAGCCATGGTTTCTGGGCCCTATGACTAAACATAATAATTAAACAAAAATGACTTATATTTGGTAATAATACTAGTGATCTCATCCGAGCCCCCCCCAATATAATCATAGTAATTATTAATAATTGTCCACAATTACTGCTTTGCAGTAATTTGGCATTTTACTATCAAATGCAACAGCTATCCCATATTGTTTTTGTTAATGTTCACTCAGAGACCTGTGCCAGTTCGTCTCCATCAGCGGAAACATCGAAAACACCAGATCTTCCACATCATCAGCCACCAGCTGAGCTTCCAGGTCACTGGAAAGATCATCTTCCACCTTTCCAGCATGAATGGATCAGGAACACACTATTTAAGGCCAACCCGAGAACCGGCAAGCCAGAACTAGTGTCCCAGATGAAGCTTTGGTGGTATCCTCCTCAGCCCCCTTTAATTCACATTTAATGCCGCCCGCCTCTCCCGACCTCTTCTTCTGTCGGCCCCTTTTCTTATGGATGCCACTGAAGATGTGGTTATTTCCTCTTGTCTGTGTAAGCACAAACTAACAGCGGCAGGACTTTACAGTACCGTACGCAAGGTCTTGGACATTGGCGGGTGGTATGACCTTGCCTGGCAGTTGATCAGTAATGTCCTTGGGAGGGTTGCACAGACCTCCACGTGCTAGACAATGGTTACTTACATTAATGATGAATTTCATGCAAGTTGGATCAGCCTGTAACTTCAGTTTTTTACATTGATTTTTGGTTTGATTTAAGAATCCAGCTCTGTGTGGTTAATTTTGGTTTCCATAGATTGTTAAGAACAAAATTATGACAACAAAGTCTGAAAATATCCTTAGACTCTACATTCTTTGTAACTCCCCACAAATGTAATTTACTATCAACAGGACAGGTCATAACTTCCCTGGAGTTCAGGAGAAACCTGATGAGAGGGCATTATGGTACAACCCAGTGTCTACCAAAAGGGGTCCGTCCTGCTTTGGACAATTCTCTGCGGTTAACAGCGAGGCATTTCCCCGCTAAAGTCCCACAGACAACCGCCCAGGGCAGCAGGACAAGGCGGCACTGCAGGGTCTGCCTCTCCAGCTCTCGGAAGACAAAGGAGAGGCGTCTCACAAAGTACATGTGTGTGCCATGCAACACTCCGTTGTGTGTTACTCCATGTTTCGAGGAGTACCACACTCTAAAAAATTACTGAAAAAAAATCTCTGTCAGTTCTAATAATGCATATAAGTAATTATAATAATTCTCAATGTTTTACTGGTTTCAGGGAAGTTTGTTTTTAATCAATCATTCCTGGTAATATTAGTGTTGATATTGCTTTACTATACATGTAAATAATTTGTCATTTCTTAAATGTTACAGTTATGTTTTTTTGAATATCAGTTTTTGTACAGTTTTCTGTTCCCTGTGTTAAAGTAGTCGACATTAAATGAACATGGTCACCATTTCATGCATTGTGCGTTTCTCTTTCCAATATTAGAAATACAATTGAATTATAAAGAAATTACTTGTATTATGCTTCATGCTACTTTCAACAACAACCCAACCCGAACTTTAGTGTTGAAGATACAAAACAAAAAACAAACCTCAAACTGCACACACACAAAAAATATATATATTATTTGATGTCTTTAGCAATGTGTCAATCATATTTGCCAAAATAGTACAAAAGCACACCAATATTATGTTCAATACAACAAACCCCCACAGCAAAAATGGCTGTCCACTGCTCTGGGTGTGTGTTCACGTGTTTAAGCAAAAAAAGAAAAACACCTTCCCCGGGTGGGGGACATTCTCTGGACCCCCTACACATTTTTAAGTACTATGGTAACAGTTTGGGAAATTTAGAAGATAGAGTCAGAGTCCCTTACATGTGCAAGTCAGACTATTTAAGAGAGACAGAAAAATAATCTATAATTGTTTGTGGATGTTAGTATTCAAAATATTATCAGCAGTTGCATTAGTAGTGTGGAGCTATAGGCCATTCAAAGTGTCATAATATTTTGTCTTTCTGAGTCTAGGGTTGGGCAGAGACAACATAAAAAGTGAAATGTGTCACAAAGAGTCTGAGATATTAGCCCCTTCTCTCTCCACCTCAGCACATCACAAGACCACAGCAGTAGGGATTTAAAGAACAATATGTATATTTAAAAGGAAGCAATTAACTTCAGGAGGGGATCAACATAAACAAAAAGAGCAATCTGTCTAGACCCTGCTACTATTCTATGGTGAATAAAGAATTAACTGAAAAATTGAGTGTTTACTATTGTCTTCTTGCATTATCAACACACTATTTTCCTGCTTAATTCTGTAAAGCTACTTTGACACTATCTGTATTGTATAAAGTGCTATAGTAATAAAGGTGACTTGACTTGAATAAAGGCTGTTCTATAAATGTAAACACAAAAGTGATTATCAAAAGGTGTCAATACAACACACAAATTCAAAACTGTGGAAAACCACATAACTGCATCCATTGAGAACTAGAATGTGTAGAGGTTTTTGATTCAATAATAAATATATTTGATTTGTCCGAATTTAATAAAATGACTAGCCATCCAGTCTTTGACATTATTAATACACTCTTAACTTGGAGAGTTGTTCATTTTCTTCATGTTATGTCGGTAATATAGAACTGAGTATCTGTGGAATAACATTGAAATCTAATGATAATGTCTCAGGAGAAGCATATACAAGGGAAAAAGCAGAGGACCTAATACTGAACCCTGTGGCACTCCGTAATTGTCTTTGATAAAATCTCTTAAAGAAAGCTAAGAATGAACAATATTGATAAGAGGTTATGAGAGTTACTTAATGTGTTAAAGATCTAGCCCACATGATATTGGTTTTGATGTATGTTGCTTTGTGCTATTAAACTGGTGTTATTTGCCTTTTTTCACATTAGACCTAATGGCGCCAAAAGAGGAGGGGTCAAGAACTGAAAGAAATAGAAGAAAAACATCATGACTTCATGACTGGAGAAAAATAATTTAGCTACTCAGTGGGTAAAGTCTTTGGCACAAAAAAACGTCTCAAAAGACAGCAACTAAAATCATTTCACCTGCCAATAGTTTTGATCAAAACAGAAATCTTAAAGTCCACATGGGAATTCACACCAGAGAGAGAGCCCTTTCAGCCAATAGCGTGGAAGACATTTCTTTCAAAAAGCAAGTCTTAAAAGCCACATGATACTTGATCAATTCTATAATTTTCATTTTAGGGGGCTCAGCCCCCACTGAGGTTATAATAATAATAAAAAAAATAGTGTTATTTGCCTTTTTTCACATTAGACCTAATGGCGCCAAAAGAGGAGGGGTCAAGAACTGAAAGAAATAGAAGAAAAACATCATGACTTCATGACTGGAGAAAAATAATTTAGCTACTCAGTGGGTAAAGACTTTGGCACAAAAAACGTCTCAAAAGACAGCAACTAAAATCATTTCACCTGCCAATAGTTTTGATCAAAACAGAAATCTTAAAGTCCACATGGGAATTCACACCAGAGAGAGAGCCCTTTCAGCCAATAGCGTGGAAGACATTTCTTTCAAAAAGCAAGTCTTAAAAGCCACATGATACTTGATCAATTCTATAATTTTCATTTTAGGGGGCTCAGCCCCCACTGAGGTTATAATAATAATAAAAAAAATGTATTTAATAAAAAATGACTAATAAAGTAGGGTGGTATACTAAGCTTATTGCAGTATTCCACTGTATTGCATAGATGGGTATAACATTTGAGTAATGAAAAAGCCAAATACAAGTCTTCCTGATCACACAGACATACATACACCCACCTGTTTACTGTACAAACACAACATTTTACTGTTTGCATTTCTAGTACAAACCTCTTTCTTTAGGCTATACTATGGTATGGCGAAACTTTAGGTTTCTCTTTCTATGCTCAAGTACTGTCTGTCACTGTCTTTAATCATTTCTGCGCATGACTGTATGGTAGTTAATGCCACATGCACTGTAATATGTTTTATACTGAAGTAAGTAGTAAAAGTACTGAAGTAAACAAAGTAAAATTTTCGATTGAAAATAGCAACATGATCGTTTTTTAAAGTATGCGTTCATATGTGTTAAGGGCTACATTTTCGCTGGAGGAAACAGCTGTGGTGTGATGAGGAGTGAACGGAGTGAAAACTTTACCGTAGATGGGAAACCAATTGCTCCCCCCATCACATTTTGTAAACTGTATTATGGCAAAGAACTGCACAGATAAACACACCTTGTCCTCTGTTTCTCGCTCTGCGCCGCTGCGGTCTGCAGATTGAAGATTGTGCTGAAACACGGGGAGGTGTCGCCGTTTTCGGATTAAGTTTAAAGAGGACTGAGATGATCACGAATTCGTGTACAGTTTATGGAGCTAATTGCAAATTTTTTAGGGGGGGCTGAGTAGAAATTTAGGGGGGGCTAAGCCCTCCTAAAAATGGCCTAGCGACGCCCATGGAGAGGAGCCTTTTGTGTGCCTTCACTGTGGAAAGCCTTGCAAACACAAAGCAACCTATGAGAATCACATGAGAGTTCACACTGGAGAGAAGCCTTTCACCTGCCAACATTGTGGAAAGTTTTGCACGAAAGCCTTGCAAACACAAAGCAACCTATGTGAATCACATGAGAGTTCACACTGGAGAGAAGCCTTTCACCTGCCAACATTGTGGAAAGTTTTGCACTTAAAGGTGACCTTGAAGTTCACATGAGGCTTCACACTGGAGAGAAGCCTTTCATGTGCCCTCAGTGTGAGATGTTCACATATCCAAGAAACCTGAAACGTCATTTGCAAATTCATCCTGAAAAGAAATTACAAAGTTCTGAGTGTGGCAAGAGGCTTACAAAAAAAGAGAAAGGTGATTTAATTGTGATCAGTGTAATTAAAAATGTATTTTGCCATCACACTTGCAAATACATTTGAGAATGTATCTTACCTATTCTTGTTATTGTTGTGGACTTTTAAATGGCTTTAAAATAGCACCAGAAAATATGTATCTGTGTAAAATCATAGCCATTGAATGTGGCTCAATTTTTTTTATTTTATTGCTCATTGTCACCCATACAATTTAATAGCATTTAACCCTTAAATGCATGAATGTTTCGCCAATCATTATTACATATTCGGGTCTTTAGTGACCCGGACCTATATATACAGCACGGATGGATCTTTAACTGCTGCAATAGCAAAAAACTCTTGATATTTTAAGAACAATTACAGAAGAATAAAATAAAGCATATTTCGTTACCTTTTGAAACTTAAAAGCGTTCAATTTGAGCAGATGATTTTACCATCGCTGTCGTCGTCAGAGCGCACTTCCACAGTACATTCAGCATCTGCCTCACATTCACGATCTCAACCATATTCTCAAAACTATCGTTTTCAATGACTTCATATTCAATATTTTGATCATTGGCAGCTTATTCACCACATCCAGCATCAAATGACAGTGACATTTATATTTCATTGCGTATAGTAATTGCTCTGTAGTAAAGCCATTCAAACCAGTTCAATTTTTGCTGATGATATTCGTTTGTTTTATGCCTGCGTTAATTATGAGTGAAACATCACGTCATCATTGTGTATCAAACAGTGCCACCTTGAGGAAAAAAGATGCATTGCACATATTGAGTCATCAGATATGTAAATATAGTTGCGCAGGAAAAAATACTTGCGCATTTACATACCTCGGGTCTCTAGCGACCCTATACACTTTTTACAAAAAATTAATCAGAAAAACAGACATTCTTTTATATTTTACTATTTTTTTGTTATATTGTTTATAATTAATAGATTGAGGAATACTATGAAAGTTGATGTCTAACTTAAAAAATTGAAGGAGAGAGAGAGGGTAGAGAATGATGTCCCGGGTCACTAAAGACCCGAGGTATGCATTTAAGGGTTAATCTATACAGCAACACTGGAAAAGACAGTGAGGTAATCGTCCAGCTCAGTTCAGTTCTCATATAATAGTGTCAAATGCAGTCAGATCAATAATAAAGTTGAATCAATAATAAAGTTGAATAGTAGATATTCCAAACTAAGCAAGCCAAAGGCAACCCAAACTCCATCAGGTGACAGAATGGAGAAAAAACCTTGGGAGAAACCAGGCTCAGTCGTGGGCCAGTTCTCCTCTGGCCAGCACAAGAACACTGATTTCTGATGCAGCCTGAATCATAATCATACAGATTGTGGATTGATAG